GAACTACGCTTCCGCAAAATTCAGCAGTGTTGGATCCTCGCTGCTCGACGCTTGCCGCTTGCTGCGTGCAGTCTGTAGCAGGCTTCAAGCCTGGTGCAGACTGCACGCAGCAAGCAGCAAGCGTCAAGCAGCGAGGATCCAACACTGTTGAATTTTGCGGAAGCGTCAGCAGTGGCGTAGAAAATATCTCTTCGTTGATTGGCTGCTGCTCGACGCTTGCTGCTTGCTGCGTGCAGTCTGCACTAGGCTTTTGACGCTGCATGAAATGGCACCTTAAATCGGCCGCTCTCCTTCCTTGACTTTTCGCCGCAAGGGAGCGGCAGTGTAGCGTGTTACATTTATGGAGGACTAAAGGTTCGTCTTGGCCGTGTCGGCTCAGTGGTCAATGAGCCGAGTGCCAGTAATAAGAAGAAGAAGAAGATAGACAGTGCTCATTCCAGTATGGTTATGGTTTGATGGTTAATAATAATCTTGTCTATCATATCAAGAGAGTCCTGTGACAGTCCTGTTAAATGGTTTAAATGTCTTAGTTTTCCTCTCATTTATGCAACGTTATGAAATTTCTTTGATTTTCATAATTCGCGCATATGTCTCGAACCTCTCGTCAGATAATTAACTTATGTATAATTGACGAAATCATTTAACTGTCAAATAATTAGACGTAAGTGTATGAATATGACAATGACTGATCGTTGAACGTATATCTATTTCTGTTAACACGAAGTAACGTTGAACCGAAATTAAAGTTAATTTACTTTGTTAGAAATGGATGTGAGTTGACCTCAGTAAATTCGATCTAATAACATCCTGTTTTTTCAGGGGGAAAACGCAAGTTTGACACGGTTACGTTCCTTTGCAAAACATTTGCAGTTCTCTCTTTCCTTATCGAGATAGCAATTGAAGTCAATAACGTAACGATGAACATGACTAAGAAAATAAACGTAAATTTTTCATCCCTGGTGGGTCTGAAAGCAGAGCTGCTGAGAAAGCAGGTTGAAGTAAACGAAGCCAGGTTGAAAACTGAGACTGTCAATGTGCCGCCACTGTCAAGTAAGAAGAAGAGTAAGAAATCCGTCGTGGGCGGTGCTGAAGGGAACGTCAAGAGATCGGTGGACCCGGAGGACATTGTCGCCCACAAAAAGTCGAAATTGATGTTGGAGGCCAAGGCGAGATTGTACGAGAGGCTGAAGAAGTCGAAAAATAATGACGATAAATTTCTCGTTGATTTTGAGAACAAGCTGAGCGAGCCCAGTGAGGAAGTGGACGAAGCGATAGATGAGGAATATCCCATAGAACCGGAGGAAAATTGGGTGGAGTATCAGGATTGCTTTGGCCGTACGAGGAAGTGTTTGCGGGAGGATCTGCCACACATGCAGCGAAAGGACGATTTGATAAAGCAGGAAGTAATGAAGAAACATTTCGGCGAGGATCAAGAAGAGGAGAAGCAGCAATACTCTGTCCAGGAGAAAGAACCCGAGATCGAGATCATGCGTAGAAAATGGGAGGAGCAAACGCGAAAGTTAGCGGACAAAGTTGATATACATTATCAAGACATATTGTTTGATGAGGCACGAGCGCACGGCGTCGGCTACTACGCGTTTTCGCAAAACGAGGAGGAGAGGGCGAAGCAGCAAGAAAACCTGACGAACTTGAGAAAGGAAACGGAGAGGAAGCAGAGGGAAACGAGAGAAGTGAAGGAACTAAAGGAGAGAATGGAGCAGAATAGATTGAAGGCAGCGAGAATTAGGCAGCGTATCAGAGCGGGCTTGCCAGCAGAGCCTACAGAGGAGGAGTTAGCCCAAGAAAAGTTAATAAATTTGACTAAAAATGTTAATACCGGCGAAGATAACGAATCTACAGAAACAGATAAAGAAAAATCCGATGAGAAAGCTGATCGTGTGTCTGTAAGTGTCGATGAATTCACCGAGAGTAAAGAGACCAACGACGAAGACAAGATAAGAGCCTTTGGAGAACTTTTGGGTAAGAGGAATCACTGGCATGTGATGTCGCAAGAAGAATGGGTGGATAAATGTAGAACACAGAGAATTAGCAAGTTCGGGCCAGTTTACGATAACTTTACAAGCGCTGGACTTTACAACAGCTCTCGGAGCGTCGACGAGCGGTCAACTCATAAGGAAAAGTCGGATGACGCAGACACTTATAATTCTCGGAAATCCATTGAAGAATCTAATGACAATTTACAGAATCGTGGAGATGGCAACAATTCCGTTGGTAATGAGACAGTTTCCATTGTGAGAGATAGCGATAGTCAGAACGACAAGAACACTTTACTAGGACATCTCACGGCCGACAGGAACTCCCATGAATTGTCTGAGAGTACTATAGACCCGACATTAGTTCCTGCTATGACTTTACCTCAGAGACAAGCGACCGTTTCGTATCCGTTATCGCATCTGTCCAGTAATTATTCACGAGATGTACGCGACTACGCTGGATATACGCCCGAACAGCAAAAACAAACAGACGATATGAATATCCCTCTTCCTGGTGAAAATGACGTTTTAGCTTCTAGTACCAGTCATACAGACGCTCATGAATCATTGCCACAAAGTATAAACGAAGATAACATTATGGCTGGTCTTAAATATTTAAGAGAAAAATTTGAGGCGAATCATAGTAAATGCACGTAATGAAGAATCATTTATATTATATCGAATGTACATAAATAGCAATTTAATATAATTTTATATAAAAATAAACATACAATTCTCTTCACTTTGCGTCATTTATTTTATTCCAAAAACTCTGCGTAACAAATTACAAACTTAAACGTAGCATCTTAACACTAGCTCGTATGTTTCCGTTTTGATCTTCTGGTCTGACTAGGTTGCGTCATCTCATTTGTTTCCGCCTCTGATGCACATTCAATATCCATAGAACTAGCGCCTATAAATATCGTCCTTTTAAAAAAAAACTAATGAACAATGAAAAAATGGTCGAATGTTAAAATATTGAAAAAATAACTAATGTAATATCAAATTATTAAAGGTTAAAGAACCAAAGATAAAATTAAAAAGAAGATAAACGTAAAAAAAATTATATACTAGATTGATCGTGTGACGATATAGGCTGATGACAATTGGGACATCCTGAACCGCCGTTTTTTTCATAATTCTGCAGACAATAAACGTGTACTGTAGCATCGCACTTGCTACATTTCTTGCTCTGCAAAATAATAAAATCAGTTACCGTTGCGAAACAAGATACGTGCACATAGACTTATACTCGTGGACGGCTTGAAGATAACACAAGACGCAGAGGGCAATAGCGCTAGAAAACCTCTCTTTTTCTAATTTTTCAGTTGGTGGGGGAATCAGGGGAAAAGCGCCCGTCCCTCGCACCTTTTCTGACTTTCTCCGTTCGCATATACGAGGATGAGTCAAAAATTATCCGCACTTTTCGTTCTACAATTTATTTACACAAAAATAAGAATTCAATATGTACGTCATTGTTCAACATAGTCTCCTCCCTTGGCAATGTATTTGGTCCAGCGGTGCACAAGCTTGCGTATACCTTCCGAGAAGAAGGTTTTCGGTTGGTCGCAAAGCCACTTTTGCATCGCTTCCTGCACGTCTACGTCTGTAGAAATTTGACGACCTCGCAAAGCATCCTCGAGCGGCCGAAACAGATGAAAGTCGGAGGGAGCAAGATCTTGGCTTGCAAGAAGCGGTGCAAAAGTGGCTTTCTTCTTGGAAGAAATACACCTTCTTCTTTGAAAGCGATATGCTTGTGGACCGCTGGACCAAGTGCATTGCCAAGGGAGGAGACTATGTTGAAAAATGACGTACATATTGGACCCCTATTTTTGTGTAAATAAATTGTAGAACGAAAAGATCGGATAATTTTTTACTCACCCTCGTATATATACAGGGTGTCTGATGCAAAAGTAGCAACTTTGAAAATAGTGGTAGATTGGGTTAAACTAAGGAGAAATATCATGTACTGCGGTACAAAGTAACATTAGTTATTGAGTAGTAAATTTACACGTTTGAGTGAATGAGGATGCAGGAGACGGTAGGCCGGACTCGGAAGGC